TCAATAAAGTTTTGCATTAAAGATTGGAATGTCTCAGTTGTGCTTACTTCATTTAGATCATCAGTCAGAATCTTGACACCTACAATGTGCTAGTTTCCCAAACACAGACTAGTTTTGTCTTGAGAAAACACTGGCATGTTCTGCCTCTTCTTGTTCTTGTACCCTACATTCATATCTTTTTCAAGTTATATTTCTTCCACTGTAACTCTATCCAATAAGTTTTATAACTAAAGTGCAATTGTTAAATGAAAGAATACATATTCTCCATTTCCATGCAGTTATAGTTTCAATTATTGGATACAATAGTAAAATTTGTAAAATCTATTATCTTTCTGTTCATTAATTTCAATTATTAATGTATACAATGTATATTTGTATACAAATAATACAATTTGTGTAAGGTATATATATTATTTGTATACCTTACACAAATATATATTTGTATATATATATATAAATATGTATTTAATATATATATATATCTTAAATACATTAAATAAATTTGAACCAGTATTTGTAAAGCTCAAACCACTTTTTTTAAAGAAATCATATATGCTAGAATCAACAAAACAAAAAATTAAGAACCAAATGAGAGTTTAAATACCCTAGGCTGAGGTTTTTCCTCTCTTAATTGTTTTTTCCCCCCTCTCTTTTGTTCTTTTAATTTGAATGTTGAAAAAGCCCTTCACACTTCAAGATCTGAGAAAAGTGTAGGCTGAGTATGTGGTGAGGAAAAGGATGTTATCATAAAGAAGATCGGAGTGATTAATCTCTTCTTAGAATATGATCCTAGACTTCTGGTCTCACTATAAACTGAAGCAGTATTTATCAGGCTTAGCTGCTTTAAGGTATGTGAATTTCAACTCCCAGAATTCCCTAGCCATCAAGTTGGGAATTGAAGTTTACATACTTTATAGTGACTAAGGTTGAGAAACAGCGACCTATGGACAAGTACCACTTTATGGAAGAGTTTTAGTTGAACTGTAGAAATACTCAAACTATGAGTACATGCCAAAACTTTGTTCCCCTAGCATTCATGACCAAACATATGTTACATATGCCTCTTGTATCAACAATGGGAAGAAGATAAATTGGAAAGCCTTGGTTAATCAGCTAGGACTGTAAATAGTATAAGAATACTATGAACAAAATAAGAAAACTAATGAGGTACAGAGAGAACTAATGCTTTTTTGTATGAAAGTGTTATTTTTGGGACTCAGAGCAAACTTCTGGGCTTTAATTCTAAATGGGCTACTTTTCATTTGGCTGTAGTTGAGACCTCTCAGGGAACCAATTAAAAACCAGCACAACAGAGCCAAACAAATCTGTAATTTGTTCATTCCTGTCATACACTACAGGGGCCTATATTGGCTGCTGAGGGTTCTACAGTGATGTTTTGGCTCCAGCTGAATTATCCTTTTTTTCTTTCTTTCTTTTTGGAAATATTCAGGAAGGGTGCCTTTGAAACAAAAGTACAAAAACACAAATACCAAAATCAAACACCCATCAATGATTGTGTGAATAAATAGAACTATAGAAGTCAACACTTTCTACAGGTACATTTTTCAATGGGAAAGAATGAATTGAATTGTGCTTTCAAATGTATCTTTCTCTTTGGACAAAAACACTGACTCTAGCATCAGCAGGACTAGCTAGGTTCTGAACTATCTGTATATTATAGAAAATTGACAGAAAACCATGATTGGCATCACAGAATAACACACACAGGTACTACAACAATGTACTTCTAGTGACCCTACTGTATTAGACTCTGTGCTTCTAGGATGGGACTGCAGAACCACCTCGATGTCCACACACACACACACACACACACACACAGAGGGAGAGAGAGAGAGAGAAAGAGAGAGAGAGAGAGAGAGAGAGAGAGAGAGAGAGAGTTTTGGAACCTATTGAAGCTAGCTTAGCTTCCTTTTGCTAAAAGGTAAGGCTTTCAACATGTCCATGTAACCATCAAGAATTGCATTCAACTCAAGAGAGGTTTTACCTTTTAAAACTTCAGGAAAATATGAAGTAGCTTTTTATTCAGGCAACATCAAGAATATCAAATTAATGTATCCTCTCAACTGTCTCTAAAACTCTTGGTGAGAGTTAGACAAGCTTTTAGTTTCTAAAGATCATCTTGGGTATCCAGGGAGAGCAAACACTATCAAACTTCAAATATGTATATGTGTATTTATAACAGTTACATACTGCCAGACTTCCAGCAGCATACAATATATAACATTTAAATCAAAGAAAATAAAATCAAAATATGGTAACATAAAATGTACCTTATATTTTATAATATAGATTTTTTTCTTGATCATGATGAAGGAAAGAAGTCTTCATTTTAAAAAGAATTGGGTACTTTTTAATTACTCTGAAGTGGATCAGTCAAAATGGAGTCAACACCACCGTAGCCAAAAACTAATTAATACCTCCCAGGAAACCTCCAATCACCACTCTACCCCCACCTGTTAAAACCTTAATATTCTACAAATCCTGCAAATAATCACATCTTCTAATCTAAACTGATACGCTAAGGAAATGTCATTGGGATGCTGGGGAAAAGGTCTATAACACCTCCCCACTAACTCCCACTAATCACTACCTCAGTATTGCTATCCTAAAGCCCAGAGAATCTGATTGCTAAATTTAAAACATAAAGCTACCTTAAACTAAACATTCTTAAGTAGCTAGTGAAATGTCTAGCAGCCATTCTCTTGACTGAACCACCACATAGCAGCTATAATAGCAATCTGAAGTTTAGCCTAACTAGCTTAAACATCCGTCCTCTCCTTATTAGAGCTGGGAATGAAATACTAATGGAATGGCTAAACAGCAGGATGTCAGACATATTGCATGTTCACAATGTCTCCAGGACACAGTGCACTTAATTGAAGCAAAAGCTATGTGAGAATGAGTATATCAGCATTTTGTACTGGATTATAGTTAGCATTGTTTTCAGCCATTTATTTATTGGGATCTATCCCCCTCCTAGCTTTGGGAAGGACAATTGGGAGGTGGAGTGTGATTAGGTCCATACAGTGGTGTTATCCTCCTTGGGGGAGAAAATGGTCCTGTTGCCTTGAAGGAAGTGGTGGTACATTATCCTTCCTCAGGAAGTCATTGTTGGACCCAATCTAGTTGAACCCAACAATTTCCATCCAGTCTTCCTTTCAGGGAAGGTTGTTCAAAAGGTGGGTTGCAGCTTCAGAAGATCTGGAGGAAACAGGTTATGTGGGGCATTTTCAGTCAGGTTTTAGACCCAGGCATAGTACACAAGACAGCACAGACTGTGTAGTGGATGACCTCTGGTGAAGTTGCCTTAATTCCTATGATGTTACTTTTAAACCATTCTCAAACTGTGAAATAGTCCTTGGGTCCTTAGTTGTATCAGTGCTAATGTTTTTCTGTTTATTTTAATATCATCTAACAACAGTTTCAAAGTGTACAAAATCTGTTAAGTTTTGTTACTCATGACTTTGTCTTGAATCAAGTGATTCAGTAACTGGGATTAGCAGTATAGACAGGATAGGGATTGGCAGTGGGGCTGTAAATTTTATGTCAAGAGAATTTTCTGCCAATGCAAGGAGAGGAAGATAACACTCAGCAGTGGCAAAAGGCATTGTATCACCATCCCTGCCTTTCCCCCTTCTTACAGGCCTTCTGTCTTATCAAGACTGAAGCCTGGGGAAAAGGACAGATACCTCTTATCAGAGACTTTGGGGCTTAAAGGAGGCAAAAGCATAAACTGCTGCTCTGGCTTCCCCAATAGAGTTGTAGTTGTCACCTTCAGATGAAAAAAAAAAAAACTCTCATACTTTAGCTTGAGAGCCAAGGGTAAAGGACAGTGGGCATATTGCCAAGCAGAACCAATGGCTTTAAACATCAAGCAACATTCCTTTTATAATTAACAAGAAGCAATCCTGAAAGACAAACCTAACAAAATCTAATTCCTGAATGTGTATAATTTTATTTTAAATAGGGTACATTATAGTATACCTTAAAGAAAGCAGTAAAACAACAATATATATATCACTTAGATAATCCCTTTCCTGTCTTAACAAGAACTGTTGATTTAATGCTAAGATAAGATAAGATGATAAGATAAGATAAGATAAGATAAGGTAAGGTAAGATAAGATAAGATAACCTTTATTGTCATTTTTTTACTGTGGGCACAACGGCACACATCAAAAATGAAATTTAGTTGCCCGCTCTCAAGTGAAACACATACATGACACAAACCTAAACATACTATGAACAACATATATATAGACCCACACCCCTACATATACGTAGCAAATAAATATTAAATACTGTCCATCTTGAATATATAACGGAAGGAGGAAGCTTGAGAGTTCACAAGATTAATACTGTATGGAATGAAACTATGGCTGAATCTGGATGTTCTGCTGCGGATATCACGAAGCCTCCTCCCAAAAGGTAACAAGGAATACAGGTCGTGAAGAGGATGTGTAGTGTCCCAGATAATCTTGTGATCAATTTTTCTTAATACACAGTATTCAAGAAAGGTCCATGAATGCTACCTATACCACTTTCCATATCATCCATACGTTAAGCACAAGCATCTACTAGTTAGTGCCAATTGACAGCTGAAAAACAGAAAGTGCTCTTCTACCAACTTGAATCAGACTAAAAACAGTTGTCAACTGAACAATGAAGTGTAATTTTATAACTTTACAAAATATGAACCTAGAGTTGAAGCAAAATCTCATAGTACCAACTATTCAAAGACATAGAGTGCACATAATGTACTGTGTGACCTCATTCTATTATATTAGAACACAACTGAAACTGTACCATTAGCAATAGGATCAGCCATTGCCTTGGAAGCAATTAGACCCAAGTCCATTGCTGACTGACACACCATCTGTTTTTTTTTTAATAAGGCAAAGCACCTCTGCTATGTTCCCCACATTACTGCACTCATACGTATCTGCACCTTTTATTATATTTTTAGACATAGGGAAGTACCTCTTTTGAAATATCATCTGTTCTCCAGCAGTGAAAAAAAGGGAGTCGCTTGTTCTAGGTGAAAGCATATACTTTAGAGGCTGCATGATGCAAGAGAAGGAAATGGATCTGTGTGTCATCTAGGAAATCTGGAAATAAGAAAAGAAATGTTCTGATAAAAAAATACTTATAAATCTAAATGTCATTGATCTGTACCACTGTAATTTAGCAATAAAACACTTTTAAGAGTTTACTAACAGCCAGTTTGCTTACTAAATACAACAGCCTAATTGTTCAATCAAGTGTGCCTCTCAAGAACCAGTTATACAATATTTGTTTTGCACAGGTAACTTTATCACCATTTTCCCCAGCCTGGTGCCCTCACCAAAATGGAATTTTACTTGTAAAATTCTCAGCTATTTTGCTATGCATTGAGAGAAAGAGGAAATAGGAATAATCTAAGAATTAATGAAGTAGTTTATATCATCATTTTAGCCATTGTCTACCCACTGCAGGATGAAGACCTCTTCTGCATGTTTCCAACCAATATGGTCCTGAACTTTCTTTTGCCAATTGGACCCGCAATACCTGATGATTTGTTGAAGGTCTGTTTTGTAGATGTTTTTTTTTATCAAGTGGGTTCCATTCTATGACTTCCTTGGTCCACCTGCCATCAGTTCTTCTTGCTATGTGACCAACTCATTTCCATTTTAATTCTTTTACTCTCTTGATCTTGATCATATCTGTATACTTTCGTTTGTTCTCTAATCCATGTGCAGGTCTTTCCATCTTGTCTTGTAATGCTGAGCATGTATCTTTCTATGGCTCTTTGCGCCACTCGTAGCTTTTGTGTGTGTGTGTGTGTGTGTGTGTGTGTGTATTTATGCGGGAGAAAACCCGAACAACCAAAGACCTACATACAAACACCCGCAAAAACCTCAGAAAACATATATATAGTAAAGTATATTTTTATTTTTATACTCTCCTGGTGTTCGTATTTTATTTGTACCATATATATATATATATATATATATATATATATATATATATATATATAAACACACACACACACACACACACACACACACACACACACACATACATACTCACATACATACATACACACACACATACATACATAGACTTATATATACATAGAGAAATAAGCCAAGTTTAGCACCTAATAAGGTTAGTCCTATCATAAGGACAGTAACAAGCAAAAGGCTCCTGTATATGTACATGCATGGGCTCAGGTCTTTCTAGGTAGCAAAGAAAGAAGAGCCAGAGATAACAATCTCATAGACAAAAAGTGAAGTGGAAGCAAAGCAAAAAGACTAAGTCCTTAACTCTTTGCTTATATCTACTTCCCCAAGGAGTCAGCCACACTGGAGTCACATTTCTAACATGAAATGCCTCCTCTTAGAAACTGCTATAGGTTGTAAGAATAAGAGAACAAGCCAGAACTATTGCTCTAAGCCTTGACATATGGAGCATTCTTTTTAGAGAAAAGAGGGATTTAAACTCTTCTGTTTTGTTGATTAGGTTTATAAATCATGTTATAGAGTTTACTCTAAGACAGTGCAAATTCCTTAATTTATAGTGAAGAAAAAGTGTCAGCTTTGTATCTACATTGACTAAATTCATATACTGGGCTAAAAACTATTGTTTTTTTCAACATAGCATAGTATGATAATGTAATTAAGCAAATTTTAGCTTGGTTTTGATAGCAAGCCAGTTTAAAATCATGGTTTGATTTAGAATGCAAACTTAGGTTTTTGCGGTGTAATTTCCTGTCTTACCGGTTTCCGTGTCCTAATCCATTAACCAATCTGCAAAGATGCAGGGCAAAAAAATAGTTTAAAAGGAAGGAAAACTAGGAATTACCCAAACAAGGCATGACTCTGGCTTGTACATTATCATTAAAACAAACTATAGCTAATCAAGGTATGTGAAATATGGCAATTTTTCTTTGCTGGATCCAATAGATCCAGCAGAAGGATGAAGGTGAGGGGAGAAAGGAGAACAATACTGCCTCAAAAAAAAAAAAAAAAAAAAAGAACCAAATCTTCAAGCTGCATATCTGATCAATGATCTCCTTTGCATGACAACTCTTTTGGTCTTGAATACTGAGACTGCAGCATGAAAGGGAAAGGTGAAGAAAAGCCCTCCCTAGCAAATTTCTAGGTATGATTTGTCCAGCACTCAAAGTTCTTTAAGGCCAGTACTCAAGTGTCATAAATCAAACCAGCTTCAAAAACATTTAAGAATCATTCTAATGATGAATGAAACTCTTTCCTTCCTTTCTTCTCTCCTACTCCTTCCCAGAACAGAAAAGAAGAGGGTTGGGATGGGATAGGGGGAATGCTGCTAACGGAAAAATACTTTTTAGAGGAGGCCTTGCCAGGAAACAGTAGGCACATCTGCTCTTAACGGGTTTCAGCTGAAACTACTGAAAATATACATGGGGCTATTTATATGGAACAGCTTGTATACATGATAAGATTACAATTTGGAGGATAACAATGGGCTTAGCTGTGGAAAAAATAAGCCTGCTAAAACTTCTATTCTACACATAGCTGTAACATTTTACCACATATGTTGCTGGGGGGGGGGGAATTTGTTGAGAATTAGGAAAATCTCAGCATTTCCAGATTAGCTTCAAACAAACTCAAGATGTTTCAGCAACTTTTTGCCAAGACTTAATTCCCTAGTCTACTGAATTCCTAGTGAGAGACAATTTTGCTCAATCAAAAAGATCCTGAAGGATGTGGGCAAAAACAATTTTAACACTAAAAATTCCTTAATAAAATCTCTCGATTATATTGTTTTAGGGTCTGTAAAGATCTCAGATATTCCATATAGGTTAGATGTAGATTTTATTGTATTATTTAATGATAAAGAATAGAACCATCATGGCAAAAAGAAATCTCTGTACAACTGAAGAAAGCCCATAGAATTAATGTAATAGGCACTGGGTTGAGCAGCTGCAAAGAAGAATGTCTGGGTGTCTAAAGAAACTTTCTGTTTTCATCAAAATTGCATAAGCAGCCCTGTGTGTTGCATCACAAGCTCCACCCTTAAAGAGCTTGTGTGTAATATTCCAAATGCATGTACAGAATAAGTTGGAAGGGATCTTGGAGGTCTTCTGCTCAAACAGGAAACCCTATAACATCTCAGACAAATAGTTGTCCAATCTCTATTTAAAACCTCCAGTGTTGGAGCACCCATAACTTCTGGAAGCAAGTTGTTCCACTGATTAATTATTCTAACTGTCAGTAAATTTTTCCTTAGTTCTAGGTTGGTTCTCTCCTTGATTAATTTCCACCCTTTAGTTCTTGTCCTGCCTTCTGATGCTTTGGAGAATAGGTTGACCCTCTCTTCTTTGTGGCAGTCCCTCAGATATTGGAACACTGATACCATGTCACTCCTAGTCCTTCTAGTCACTCCTAGATTAGAAATATCCAATTCCAGCAACTGTTCTTCCTATGTTTTAGTCTCCAGTCCCCTAATCATCTTTGTTGATATTCTCTGCACTCTTTCTAGATTCTCAACATCTTTTTTTATATTGTGACGACCAAAACTAGATGCAATATTCCAAGGTATTATAAAATGTTATTAACATTTCACATGATCTTAATTCTATCCCTGTTAATGCAGCCTAGTAGTATGTTGGCTTTTTTACACAATGAGAGTGGGTAGTATATATGGCAGCTTTACACTGGTTTCATTATTCTGCCTCTCCCCCTCATTCCATTCCTCCCTTGGATGCTGCTAGATGGAAGAGCCTGTTTCTAGAAATACATTTATGCATTACAGTTATTTGTATGCTGCCTACCTGAACAATTCTGCAACAATGCACTAAAAATCAATTAAATCCAAAATACTAAAAATTATTATCTTTAAAAAATGCTGTGGTCTTTCATAAAACTCAGGCAGCTAAAGTGACATTAAAACATAATTCTCACTCACTCAAAAGCCCGCAAAGACAAAAGTTTAATTTCAGCGGTTGAATTGTTCCAGAGTGAGGGAGCTGTCAGTGAGAATACCTTAATTTGTCTTGGGATGGGCATTTACAGGTAAGGTTAAACAGATTGATTCTACTAGAGGAGATAGCCCTGAAAGTAGCAATGTGACATGTAGAACTTCAGAATATATAAAGTATTATATTCTGCATTGTAAAGGTTGCTGGAATGACTGAAAATCTTAAGGGGGATATTAGATCCCCCCCCCAAGACCAGAAATAGGATTTTAGGGCACCTAAGTAATTTTAGTTGATTTTTAAAAATTAAATTTGGACTTGGTGATTACTTGAAAGACACCAGGAAATTCTAGGACAGCATGCTAAACTGGGAAATTGAAAAACATCCCATTAAAAGGCAATAGAAATTCACTTCTGAACTGTTGTGAAAAAAATACCATGACTATGTCCATGTCATCACTAGGAGTTGAGCCCAATTCAAGGGAGACTATATTTAGTTTCAAGAGATAGCTGAAAAACAATTACGGTATTTTGGTTGTCTTGAAAGATCCTGGTTCTTGCTTCCAATTTCTACAGTTTTACACTCTGTTTAAGTAGCTTATCAAATATGCTTAAGCAGCTTGCTTGGATTAATGACTTCCCTGGACCTGGTACCCTTAAGATATGTGTGATAACTCCCATAATCCCCATTGGTTATTTATTCTAAGAGTAAAAAAGGGATTGTCACTCAACATATCTGCAGGGCACCTTGCTGAGGAAAAGCAGCTTGAAATGTTCTTCAACAAAGAATTTTCTGTATCCTGTCCCCAAATTATGAACTTCATGGCTGTTTGTGAGGAAGCCCCCACTGTTATATGGGTTAAGATGCTGCTTCCCCTTTCACCGTCTTAGATCATCCTCTGCCAAAACTATGAGTTAATATAATGTTCTGTCTTGAGATAGAGAACTTGGCACTGCAAAATACAAATTCTCCACATGAAGTAGAGGTATTAAAATTGTGCTATCAGAGACAATAAATTAAATTGCCATCCAACAAACCCTTTAAGGAGGTCTGACATAACCACAGCAGATTTTTCATTTCCCACTACACCCTGCTGCGTATCTTCACCTGTTTTATTAAATCATAAAGTTCCTTTTTAATAAGTGAACCAGCAGAAAACAATAATGAAT